AAGTTGGAGAAGATATTTCCACCCGGCTTCTTCCTGTCGATGCAGCATTTGATTGTGCACCTCCCGTACGAGGCACAAATGGGGGGGCCCGTGCAGAACCGCTGGTGCTATCCAATCGAGAGATGTCTAAAGACTATTCGCAAGAAATGTGAAAACAAAGCCAGAATTGAGGCTTCCATGGCAGAGGCGTTCATTAACGAGGAGGTGTCAAACTTCACAACAACATACTATAAGGGCAACATTCCTAGCGTGCATAATCGACCGGCTCGTTACAATGAGGACGAAAATAAATCTACCCTCAGCCTTTTGAAAGGGTCACTCGAAAGAGCGAGTGCATTGAACCCAAAGACCTTTTGCAATGAAGAGTGGCGCAGTATCATGCTATATTTGTTGGCCAACCTAGATGAAGTGGCGCCGTATATCGAGTAAGTTCTCAACAAACTTGTTACTTACACCGTCACTATTCTGCATCCAACCCCATCATGTTTCTTGTCTACACAGGGAATTTGTTAATCTATTCTGGCGTCAATCAAGGCGACCTCGCCCTCATGAAGTTGATACCATTCTTAAGGAGTAGGATTTCATTTCTTGGTTCCAAAAGAAGGTACCGTCCAACTTCCCCCTTGTTTCTTGATTTCAAGTTGGTCATTTGTGTGAATAACATAACGCTCTAGCCTGACTTTGCAGTGCTACAGGGATGCGTCTATAAGTGTCGAATTGCGGCAGGTTGCCGATGGCTTCAACTTTAGGGTCATGTCATGTAACGTTTATGATGTCAATGGGTATCTCTTTCACATAACAAGCTACGAGCAGAGTCGGCCGCATCGAAGGACCACAAATACCGGAGTTATGACGCCCGGAACTGATGGCAAGGACTATTATGGGATACTTGAAGAAATATACGAACTCCAGTTTTGTGGAGCCAAACCTTTTAGTCCTGTCATATTCAAATGTCGATGGTTTGATCCTGAGGTATCGAGACAATACCCTCATCTTGGGCTAGTCGAGACTCGACAGGATTCCGTCTATGAAGGTGATGATGTATGGATTGTGGCCACACAAGCCAAGCAAGTCTATTATAGTCTATATGCTTGCCAAACCGAGGAAAACCTTAAGGGTTGGTATGTTGTTCACACAATATCGCCGCACGGTAGACTACCTCTCCCAAACGATGAAGATTACAACTTGAACCCAGAAACACATGACGGAGAGTTCTATCAACACGAAGAGGGGCTACAAGGGAGCTTTGAGATAGACTTAACCGGGCTAGTCGAAATGGAGACAGACATCGAAAGGGTTGTGGACGAGGACTCTGGAGATGAGGTGGAAAATCCAAAGGACATAGTGTTCCTTGACCGATTACACTTAGGTGTTGATAGTGATGATGAGGAGGCGGATGAAGATTTGGACATGGTTGATAGTGATGACGATATGTACAATCCAGCTAATCCCGATCGTGGAGATCGTTTCTAATACATGTAATATTATTTGTTTTTGTAATTATATTCATTTTGCATGTAATTATCTTCATTTTGCATCTCTTTCGAATTATGTATCGTTTATATATGCTAATTGTTTTGTTCTTTTTTAATGCAGGAGATGCCACCCAGGAGGTCCGTCCAGTCTCTTTACGCCAGCTAGGAGGAGCCGGAGGCGTCGGTTCAGCGTCCGGAGCCGGTGCCGAGGCGGAGGAGCCGCAGGCGTCCGAGCAGGACGCAGCCGACGACCCCTCCAGCCATGGAGGAGCCTGCCGCCGCGATGGAGCATGCGGATGTAGGGGGGTCCTCCTCCACCTCAGGGGACGAGGCGACTGCAGGGGATGAGGCGACTGCAGGGGGATCCACTTCCTCTGGTGTGTCGACGATGTACTTGCATGGTCCCGCGAAGCTCCCGCATCGACCAATACCTAAGGCGGCCTGCCCGCTGATCACACCCTATGGGGATAGGTAAGTAACTTAAGATGTGCTCGAAACTTCTTCATTTGAAATGTTGAAAATCAAAATACAAACTAATACTTTTTGTAATCACTTGTGTAGGAACTAGAAACTTGTGGAGACTGGAGCCAAGGCACGCAAAGTGAATGGCATCCTAGGAGGTCTATGCAGGGAGCACTACCCTGGCCTGGTGGAGGTGAGCCCGGACATGTTCGAGCCGGCCACTCAGTTCGACCACTACGAATTGGCCGCCGATGCCATGGATCGTAGTGGCCACAGATACAGGAACAAGGCAGAGCGGGTCATCAGGGACCTGTCGGTAAGTCTTTTAGGCACACATTGTATTCTTTTAGCCACAGATACATCGTATTCATTGGGCATTCTTCTAATAAGTAATTGATACCTCGCGCCTTTATGCAGGATTTCTTTAGAATCGAGGAGGGCAAGGAGCACAGGGCATACCAGGTGGCGGTCGCTTCTTGTAAGAAGCGTGTCACGGACATGATTCACGACGCGCGTCATCAGGCGCACATTTGGCACTACGCGAAGGTCAAAGGGCGTACCATAAAAAAGGACGAGGCAAGACAGGTGGTGCTGACCAAGGAGGAGTACCTTGCGGTAAATATGGAACATTACTATTGATTTCTTCTGAGATTAAGTTTCCTTAATTTGATCTTCTGATATATCGTTTGCTTGATGGCCTGTAGGTGATTCCAAACTAGTGCAATCGGCATCCGGATGCCTGGGAGAGGATTGTGGACATGTGGCTCAGCCAGGACTGGAAGGAGCATGATGAAGCACGCGAGCGCCGTTTGCTAATGCAAGGAGTACCACACTATCAAGGCAGCCGCAACCTCTCCGAATTCTTAGAAGCTTGGGTAAGGCGAAACCATTTCTCTAACCTAACACTCAATTCTGCAACAACTCTAACAATGTTATTGTCTTTCTCGCAGTCGGCGTCACATGGTGGCCGCCCTTGTGGTCACCTCAAGGCATATGCCTTGTCCCACTTGGGCAAGGCGACGGCCGCCACCGACTGGACCCCGAAAGTCCCTGCCGAGTCGTTCACCAACGCCAGCATTGCCCCTCGCATCTCTGTGTACACAGAGATGGCAAGGTCAGTCCACAGGCCAGACTACGACCCGACCACCGAGGAGCGGCTTGATCTAGAGCTCGTGATGAGGGTGGGGCAAGGCAAGAAGCACGGGCAGTTCTGGCTTGGCGACGGTGTCCTCGACACGACCTCTGTTCCTCCAACACACACCGGATCCGAGCAATGAGCACGAGCTCAATGCCGCCATACGCCACGGCCTTGACCGTGGGTGTCGACACTCCAGGTAAGTCTTCTCTTCCATTCCTAGTTCTTTGACTTTTACATACCTTAGCTCTGCAATCTTGAAACATTGGCGTCAAATGTTGCAGGCACAGCTGCAAGCGATGGAGGCCGAGCGGGAGCAATAGCGGCAGAGGCTGGTAGCTTTGGAGGCCGAGCGGGAGCTCGAGCGGCAGAGGCTGGCAGCTTTAGAGGCCAAGCAGGAGCAGGATCAGCAGCAGCTGGCAGAGGTGCTCTCCTACGTGCAGGGTCTTGCGATGACCCAAGGTGGAACGGTCCCACAGTTCCTGCTCGGTCAGCTGCAGGCTACACCTCCACCTTAGCTTGATTCTACTCCAGTGAGTATGACAAATGTTTTAGTTTCTCTAAATGTCAAACCTAGTGAAACCTAGTAAAACCTAGTGAAACCTAGTGCTAGTGGTGATGGTGGTGGGTGGTGGTGGCGGCGTGGTTGGTGGTGGTGGTGGCGTGGTCGTGGTGGTGGCTGCGTGGTTGGTGGAGGTGGTGGCGTGGTGGTGTGATTGTTGTTGGTGGTAGTAGTGGTGTGGTGGTGGTGGCGTGGTGGTGGTGGTGGTGGTGGCGTGGTGGTAGTAGTAGTGTGGTTGTGGCGTGGTGGTGGTGGTGGTGTGGTCGTGGTGGTGGTGTCGCGTGGTTGGTGGTGGTGGTGGTGGTGGTGTGGTCGTGGTGGTAAAAAGTACATGTAGTGCTTGGTTATCTATTTATGTTGTCTAACACATTCTGCATCTTCTTTGTTTGTGTAGCGTCAGTCGGCGGCGTCGAACGACCCTAACCTTCTCCTCGTCAACTCCCCAGGATCGCACGCGGCGCCTTCTCAGCCCGGACCGTCGCCGTGTTTGGCATCTCCTATGCCTCTTGTTTATGTTGCTTGTCGAACTTTACACTTGTGGTTGTCTATGTGTCGAGATTTGTTTGTGACTTCGAACTTCGAGACTTCTATGTGATGTGGATGTGAATTATGTGATGTGGATGTGGTTATTGATATGTGGATGTGCTTATTGTGATGTGGATGTCATATATATGTCATATATATGTTTATTTGTTGACTGGAAATACAAAAAACAAAAAAAAAATTGGTTGTGGCTTTGCCGAGGGCTATGGTCATGCGCTCGGCAAAGCTGGGAATTCTGGAACACACAGAATCTCAGCTTTGCCGAGCGCATGACCATAGCGCTCGGCAAAGAGGAAGCATTTGCCGAGAGCTGAGCCATAGCTCTCGGCAAAAAAATGTCTAAAAAAAATTGTCAATATTCTTTGCCGAGAGTTCTTCTGACAGACGCTCGGCAAAGTTTTTTGGAAAAAAAATTCAGAAATTCTTTACCGAGAGCTTGCTAAGGCTCTCGGCAAAGATCAACTTTACCGTGACCTCTCACCGTCACGGAGAAAATTTTTGCCGACGGCCGGCTAACCCTCGGCAAATCCTTTGCCGAGAGCCCGAGATGCGGCTCTCGGCAAAGTAGCCTTTGCCGTGAGGTACTGTGCCGACCGGCCTTTGCCGAGAGCAACTCTCGGCAAAGCCTTTGCCGAGGGCCCTCCAGTTGTGCATGGCTGAGGTAACTAATGTTAACTAGTTCTTATGCCTCAGAAGACACCTACTGGAATCAGGTATGATCAAATACTAAGTTTGTCCCATGCATGCCGTACTGGAGCTAGCTAGTATACAAAAACTCAGAAGCAAATTAACAGTTAGTTTTAATGCTTAAACAAGTACGTACCACACCGTCACTCTGGGAGTCTATCAAGTCGAGTTGGTCCGTCCAAGTCTTCTGGGCTGCGGCAAACTGCCCCGCCGCCATCTGCTGCTCCACCGTCAACCCCATTCTGAGGATAAATGAAGTGCCAGAATCTGTTAGACAATGAAAATTGACTCGTCTTTTATATGTCTGAAACTGGAGTATTTACACGTACTAAGCCCGTGTCAAGAACAATTTCGATCCAAATATTTCAGATGTGGTGGCATTAGTTAGCTTACTTGTTCACACGTGAGACTGCATTGTCATTCAGTCTCAAAACGGTGTGCAGTAGGTCCCCGTATGAGAGCTGAAAATAAACATGGATCAAAAGAAATACTCGGCGTGAAAGACAACTCAACTTTATATGGTCACAGGGAGAGTTTGCTCATTTAACTTACCGCGTTATCAGCTGGGGAGATCCAGCCGTCCCCAATCACAACACCTGTTTGACCAGGAGGGAAAAAAATCAATTCTGGAAGAACAAATAGGACGTGTAGCTAGCTTTGTCTAAATTTCTATCATCAATGCAAGAGGCGGAGTTTAGGACTGCTGCTGTATGCTTACCCCCGAGCGTCAGCTTCATGGTGCCGTCGCGGATGGCCCTTTCTAGGACAACGCCTAACATGGCGGCAAACTTGCCACCGTATGACTCTCCGACAAGGTACAATGGTCTGCTCTGCAGACTTGGCAACCTCCTGATGAGCTCTTGGATGACGCCAAGCAGGTCAGATACAGCCTGCTTGTCAGTTTTGACAAGTAAGCTCGGCTCATCTGCATAGCTGAAACCTACTCCCACTGGGGCGTCCTGCAGCCCGGAATAATTGTCATCATGGGTCAGCTCTGCTCAGGTATATATATGGCAACAAGAAGTAGAAGAACGAAGGTAATGAGGAACTAACCACGAAGATCAGATCGGAGACATGGAGCCAGGTACATGGGCGCGGCTGCATGGTGATATATAGTGGCCCGATCTCTAGAAAATTCCCGCGTCCCACGGAAGACCCTCCCTATATATTTATTGAACAAGATATGTAATTAACAAGGAAATAATGGACGACATGCATGCATGCTTGTCATGCATATTAGAGACTGGAATTTGTCATATTATTTGAGACTGTAATTGTATAGGAGTATATATAATTATTACCGGGCCACCCTGCAGCCATAAGACGGTTGGCCATGGCTGGGCCGGCGAGCTCACGCGACGGGGGCTCTTGTACCACAGCCAAAACGTATGGACCCCTGCGAGGATTATATTCAAGCAAACAAGGAGCAGTAAGCAGTTAAGCTCAGAAGCAGAATGTAATTGATTAAACTCGCACGCTAGGATATGGCTAGGGATGCAGGTTTTTCTGGGGCAACCCACCCACTGACCCAAAACCCAATTCACAAAAAGTAGTGTAAAAACCTTATAGGGCCAAACCAAAAATTAATTTGGTGTTATATGGGTCCAACTCCAACACCATGGGTTAGTGGGGTTACCCAAGAGAAACCCCTGCACGTGCCTCTGTACCCCCTCAATTTAATTGGAATTGGAATGCCAATTTGAGTTCTGGGGGGCCATGCTCTGTCCCGTTTGGCCGTTGCGGCCTCATTTCAATTCAGATTGTACAGCAACAAAAGAAAAGATTTGCACATATATTTACTCCTGTTTGTTCACATTTTTCTGTGATATAAGGAACTGACAGAAAAATGTGGTTCAGGAGTATATAAGATTTTTTGCAGCCTTTTTCCATTATCTGTGGTGACTCCCTGTCATTAGATCTGCTTCCGCCACCATGTGAACTCCTTGCCCCCAAGACTACACAACTCTTCTCCTCAATTTCCTGTGGCCATCAGCCAACACCAACTTACCGCCCTGCACCGATCGGTAGATCTGACACCCCCGGCCTTCCCTCTAAGCTCTAAATCACGTAATTGATGGAAAGTTGTCATCACAGAGAAAACATTATATCGTGTGCTCCCATGCACTTAGGTGAATAAGTGCTCCTGTACTCCCATTAAAAAAAGACTACAAAAAAAGTGCTCAAAAAGTCAACAAAAAATTGGATAGATGATGAAAACATTCATCCTCATTCAAAATTTGAGGATGATTAAAAATTTCTCCAAGAAGAAACAAAAAAGAGAAAATCAAGATCGAGTTGCGGATCGTGGTAAACAGTGCACCCGACCCAATTATATCATCAATTTCACTTTTTTTTTCTTCTAGAAATCTTTGTTCATCCTAAAATCTTGCATGAATATGTATGTTTTCATCATCTATTCATTCATATGTTTTGTTGGATTTTTCAAACACTTTCTGATGGTTTTTTTAAATGGGACCACGGGAGCACCTGAGTACTACATGGGAGTACAGGATCGGTTCTCACTTGCCACAGCCTGAAACCCTATATTATTGTTGCTACTTGCCAGACCTAAAGAAGAAGCCCCCCTTAGCACTAACCACGGATTTGATCCGGCATATAAAACTGTTGTGGTGAGCCAAAACGCTCGAGCACTTCTTGGATATTCCCTTTTAAAAGTTGAAGTGCCGCATAAGGTACAAGTTGATCTTTCTAATGAGGATTGATGAGGGCATAGCAACCATGTTCATCCAAGAAAAGACTGGTGCCGCATAAGGTACAAGTCAAAGCAGACGTCAGATAAGATCTAAGAAAACCATATATGTATCTACCTGAAGACTTTGTCGTAATTGATTGAATCATCATGTAGATGCTTGTGATTATTCATCCACATCGAATAGTGTAAAGACCAAATAGGGGCTAATGCCAATCAACTCGGTAACGAATGAGAAAAGATTCATAGAGATTTTGAGAGCACCCAGGAAAATAAAACGATGAACTAGCTAGAGGAGAAGGCCGGCCCGTCCCTCACGAGAAATTTACGGCCCTGCTGGGCGCCGGCCGCCGAGCGGATAAGCACACCGGCGGCCGCTGATGGAAGAAAACGACGGCGTCCAATCCCTCCCCGTATCTGCACGCCGTCCCCGTACCGCACTAGGCATCTCCCCCGGCCAAGCAGGGGTGAATCTGCATCCGGGGCTGAGGGGCTCTAGCCTTGCAGGCCTCCGGACCTCTTGCACGCACCCGCACCAGTGCACCACCCTGCAACCAGGCCACAAACCCCCCAAAACCCCTTCCCCGGCGCCGCGCGTCAGCCAGGCAGCGCCACCGCAGCGCCTCCGCGACCCCCTCGCCGCCGCCTGGGACCAGGACGCCCTCACCACCCTCAAGTTCGTGTGCCACCGCCAGACCGTCAACAAGCGTTCTCACCTGGCCGCGGTACTGCGTATCCCCACCGCATGCTTCCGTCGGGCGTCCCCGTCCAGACAGGGGAAGACGAGTTGGGAGCTGATGAAGCGCCGGCGGTGGAGAGGAAGAGGAACAGGCACAACACCATTGGCGCCACCTTGGTCGCCATATCGAGTGGACGGAGCTAGCGGCGCGAGCGAAGCTAGAGAGTAAGTGAAGGCTTGGAGGGCGTGGCCGCGTGGGGTTCGTTGCAGAGCCTGAGCAGCAGCACTGGTACACTGCTGACCGACAACACCGGCCCGGCCCTTTTATATATCTGTTCATGCCTACTAGTACCGTCCATAAGAGATAAGACCAATTAATTTAATATAATCATTTCTTGCGTGTGCTGAGCTGATTCGGTGCACCCGCACCACATGCACAAAAGACTGAGGCTTTGTAGAGTGTTCAGAGTTCAAAACCCCAGAGCGGCTGTACAGTGCTAAAGAATGTTGGCTCAGGAATCCCAAAGACCTATGAAGAGGGACCTTTGTAGACATGATAAGGCTACATGACTATGCGACAGGACCAATCATGTTGTAGTACATTTTTTTTTCAAAGTTCTGAAAGGTTAAAAGAGACATGGACGGTACCCTCTTCATTGTTTGTCATATATAATAATTGGAACAAAAAGTCCTAGCTAGAAATTGAACTGCTAATTTAGACACATACAGAGAGATGTATATCATTTCTTTGCAAGTTGTCTTATGTAGATAGCAAAATAATTGGAGTCTCCCAATATGAGATAAATAATGTGTAGTAAAAATTTAGCACGTTACACGACTCTGAAACATGAAAAGTTCTTGTCAATTACTCTAAGAATCGAATTAACCCATAAGGTATATTTTACTATCATCCAATCACTACCGGAAACGCGTGCTTTGCCGAGGGCCTGAGGCTTTGCCGAGGGCCAAATCTCGGACACTCGGCAAAGACACTCTTTGCCGAGGGCCAGCCACAAGAGCCCTCGGCAAAGAACGGCCCTCGGCAAAGACAGGCCCATGGCAAATCAAATCTTTGCCGAGGGGGCCCTCAGCAAATTAGGCCCGTTGGGTCACGGCGGCCATTCCTGTCAAGCTTTGCCGAGGGCCACCCGTTAGGCCCTCGGCAAAGGTTTTTTTTTCTGTGAAACCAGTTTATCGGTAAATTTTTTTTTAAAAAAAAGTCTTTGCCGAGGGCCCTAGACCAGGCCCTCGGCAAAAAAAAAATTAACCAGTTTTTCGGCCAATTTTTTTTTTATAAATCATTTTTGCTGAGGGCCTGAGGCGAGGCCCTCGGCAAAGATTTTTTTTTTTGGTTTTTTAGCCTAGTTTTTTTGTGGTGCTACAATACATTGTTTTGAACTCAATTTTAAAATTTAGGCCAATTTTGACTTTTTTTTATATTTCCTTAATTTATTTTGATTCTTTGATTTTTTTTCGAATATATCAAATTTGAACTGCAGGTGCATGGAATATTGCAATGTAGTGTTTTGAAAAATATTATTCATGTTAATTGGTGCATGTTGAGTCCCTATCCACGAACTCGCATCAAATTTCGCGCATCTTCTTTGCGTAACATGACGACCGACTTGCCGGAAAAGTGTTTTAAAATCATATAAAATCCATACGAAGTCCGAAAATCACGAAACTTGGCGAGATGTCATGTTATCGCATGTGTAGGCTGTGGTAAAAAATTGAGAAAGTTTCGAGCAAGTTGTGACGTCGGATGCCCAATACCCAGACATCTCCACATGTGATCGCATGTGATCACATGTGGAGATGTCTAGGTATTGGGCATCCGACGTCACAACTTGCTTGAAACCTTCTAAATTTTTTACCACAGCCTACACATGCGATAACATGACACATCAACAAGTTTCGTGATTACTTCGTATGGATTTTATATAATTTAAAAACACTTTTCCGACAAGTTCCTCGTCATGTTACGTGAAAATGATGCCCGAAATTTGATGCGAGTTCGTGGATAGGGAATCAACATACACCAAATACCATGAATAATATTTTTCGAAACACTAAATTGCATTATTCCATCCACCTGCAGTTCAAATTTGAAATATTTGAAAAAAATCAACGAAAAGAAATAAATTAGAAAAATATATAAAAAAATCAAAATTAACCCAAATTTTAAAATTGAGTTTTAAATAATGTATTATAGCACCACAAAAAAACTAGGTTCAAAAAACAAAAAAAAATTGCCGAGGGTCTAGCCTGGCTGGCCCTCGGCAAAAGGGATCTTTGCCGAGGGCCTGGCCAATGACCCTCGGCAAAGAAAATTTAAAAAAAAATAAAAAATCTTTGCCGAGGGCCATAGATCTGGGCCCTCGGCAAAGGGCCCAACCCTAAATCGGCCAGCGGGCCAAAATCGCCGCCCACAGAATACCATTACGCCGCTGCTGCTTGCTTGCCGCCTTCCTGCATGCCCGCCTCCCATCGCAGACGCTTCCCACCGCCCCTGCTGCCCGCCATAGGCCAAGGCTGCCTCAAGGCCCTGGCCGCTTCAACCGCCTCTCCGGTCGTGTTCGGCGCCGCCGAGGGCGACTCCTCGCCGGTGTCCTCGCCGATGGCTCCGTCGCCGTGTGGAACCCGGCCGAGCATGACCAGGTCCGGATCCGCCTCCTCGCCTCTGCCGCGCACTTGAGATCTGCTCCGCTCGACTGAATTGCATCGCTGTTTCAGCTCCGAGGGAAAGCGGAGGACGCCATGGTCGCGTGTCCGGAGAAGCACACCGGGCTCGTGAGTCGCGCAGGCTGGCTAGTTAGTTTTACGCTACCGGCGCTCGACGGGGTTGGCGCTGTGTGCTGATTGCGTTTGTGTTCGGTCCGCCAGGTTTGTGGACTGGAGTTCAGTGAGCTCTCACGCCGAATAGGCTCGCTTGGGGCTGAGCACGGGAGCTTTGCATCTGGGATCTCAAGAACCCTGTTGAGCCAATTGTGTACCCACCACTCAAGGTACTTGCAGTTTTGTACAGAGCTTATTGTCATACAAGAGGATTAAGGATTTGCCCGATTGGTTAATGGTTATTCATGAGATGCATGGTTTCTGCTACTCACGGCTTGTAATGATTCAGTGGTGCTTTTTATTCCATGGTAAACATGATGCCATCTTATGCGTGCTTACGGTGACCCTAGCATGATTTTTGTCATTCCAGACGGAGATGTTTTGAGTTATATGTAGTAGCATTCTCATTTTAATTTTCATTCAGTATGAGCAGAACTGGCTACACTATTTGATGCAGGGATAAAACTGAGGGACTTTAGACTGATTGTGCAAGATTATAGTCGTCCTTTATGATCTGGATGTTTGCGCCAGTGCTACACTAGTCCGTTGAATGCAAACAAAGTTTTTACCCTGTAGAGTCCTTTATATTATCTTACCGCGTTTCCATGCTTGTTCTTTCATATGATCGATGTGGGTTGCTGTTAATGAAAAATAAAGTTGAGGTTTAGGGCATGTGACATAGTTGTAAAGCAGGATGTGTTTGGATATTTCAGTTATGTCACTATGGTCTGGCTACATTCTTCTGTTCAACCTTTTATAGCATGTAATCATTTTTTAAAGTATAATAATTTTAACAGAGTGTTGGGTCCCATGCGCAAGCTGAAATCTCTTGTTTATCCTGGAATCCCAAGTTCCAACATATAGTTGCCTCAACTTCGAGTAATGGGATGACAGGTAAATTAAATTTTGGTTGATTCTGCAAAAGTTTAGCTATCAGTTACCATCACTTGGACTTCTAATCATTCTGTCTGACTAATTTTGTTTCCCTGCAGTTGTTTGCGATTTAAGGAATCAGAAACCACTGATTTGCTAATCCCAGGGCACAACCTAGAGGATCTCCTTTTTAAGAATTTCTTTGGCCGGAGGTTTCCCACCTGGCTAGGTACTGCTACCCATTTTCCTTCACTGACATATTTGAACCTCATAGATTGCAAATCATGTATGCATCTTCCACCAATCGGTCAGCTCCCCAACTTGAAATATCTGTGAATCCAGGAAGCCACTGCAGTCACCAAGATTGGACCCGAATTTGTTGGCTCTGTGGTGGGTAATCTCAGATCTCCAGAGGCAGTAGCTTTCCCCAAGCTTGAAACATTGGTCATCTGGGATATGCCCAACTGGGAGGAGTGGTCCTTTGTTGCTGAAGAAGAACAAGAAGAAACAACAGCAGGTACGGAAGGGGGAGAGGATGAGGCTGCTGCAAATCAAAAGGAGGAAGCGCCGCCTCCAAGGATGCAGCTGCTGCCACGACTGAAGGAGTTGGAGCTTGACCGCTGCCCCAAGCTGAGAGCTCTCCCACAGCAGCTTGGACAGCAGGCCACCAGCTTGAAGGAGCTCCGATTAAGCGATGTGAACAGCCTTAATGTGGTGGAGAACCTCGGTTTCCTCTCAGAGGTCCTTGTAATCGTAGATTGTGAAGGCCTAGAGAGGGTCTCAAATATTCCCCAGGTGAGACAGCTGCGTGTACAGCTGTGTCCCAACTTGTGGTGTGTTGAGTACCAGGTGACTAATATATTGTGATTTGTGGTTCACAATTATGGTTGTGATATATTATGAGAAAATAGGTTCTGTGTGATATATATATGTGATGATTGATATATATATATATATATATATATATATATATATATATATATATATATATATATATATATATATATATATGAAATGCTTGTGTCGATGGAATGCAAAAAACAAAAAAAAATCTGCCTCTTTGCCGAGGGCAATGACCAAGGCCCTCGGCAAAGATTCGTTGGAAAAATTCTGGAACATTTCTTTGCCGAGGGCCATGGTTGGAGGCCCTCGGCAAAGACTTTTTTAAAAAAAATTAAAATTTCTTTGCCGAGGGCCTGCGGGGAAGCCCTCGGCAAAGATTTTTCAAAAAAAAAAAGAATAATCCTTTGCCGAGGGCCGTCCCATTGCCCTCGGCAAAGAATTTTTGGAAAAATTCTGCAACATTTCTTTGTCGAGGGCCATGGTTGGAGGCCCTCGGCAAAGATTTTTTTTTAAAAAAAGAATAATTCTTTGCCGAGGGCCCCCGGAGACGGCCCTCGGCAAAGACTCCGTCCCAGGCGCCGGCGTCGTGACGGCTGCTTTTCTTTGCCGAGTGCCGGTCCAGCCCTCGGCAAAG